CAGCTACTTGGTTACCTTTGGAAGGACGATAAATGCGATTTAAATATTCAGGTGTCAGGATTTTACGGTAATGTTCTTCTTTCTGTATAGCATCAGTTAATTCTTGCCTATAATCCTCAAGCTCACGTACTTCCACTATCTTTTCTTCAATAGCAAGGCTTGTCTCTGCAATATATAGGTTAACCCGAGCATAACTATTACGTACATCTCCGCTTATACCACCGGCTACTGCCTGCACTAATTGTTTAAAAACATCCTGCTCGTCTAATATTGTTGCTTTCTGATTTACTATTAATTTATCAAGCTTGGAATGCCAGTATTATTTTTATTGCATTTTACGAAATGCCTAAAGGAAATATTTGACAGATGCTGAAAAAATACAAATAAATTTATATCGTGGCTCAAAAATCTCACCAGCACTTTCTATACGAGAAATAGCAAGAAAAATTGGAAGATCTGACCATGTTGTACAAAACTACATTGCAAAAGGTGACAATTACGGTGTAAAAAAAGCAACAAACGGCAACAAAGTGTTAACAAATTGGCAAATTAATCGAATTAGCTTCGAATCAACCAAAAATAAACTGAATGCAACACAAATAAAGGAGAAATTATTATTGCCTGTCACCAATAAACATGTTGCACATGTTGCTCTGTTTTATTTAATTGCTATATATAATATTTCATATTTTTATTTATTTATTTAATGAAACGAAAATTTATAGAAATATAACAATTGATTTGATAACCCTAACCCCAACCTAAACCCTGCCCCTACCCTAACCCTTCGTCCTGCGTGGAGTTCTCCCTAAATCAGTCGATGGGTGTACTTTTCATTATATAAAAAATATGCCTACGGGTACATTTTAATACAAAAAAACATAGACTTAATAGAAAAAACATAAACATAGACAAAAATTAACGTAAAACTATTTTTGTTTAGTTATAAGGACTAGTATTAGTGCTAGATGTAAAAATCAGAATTAACCAGTATTACAAATTTTTCTTAGTTCATCGTCAATATTTTTTTACTTCATCAAAATGATTTAAAAAAGTAAAATGTAATTTAATGTTATATTCAATGAATAAAATAACACTGCATTGCAAAACATTTGAACAGTTTTAAACTGTAAACTAATAAAAAAATTTTATATATAGAAAAAAAGCATAGTAAATATAGTTTCAGGAAAGGTTTGTTAAAGGTATTATTTAGTATATTATTTAGTATATGACATCAATTAAATTTAAGGAGTTTTTTTTAAATTAAATATAACTTAAAAAAACATTAACAATTATTAATGTAATTGCTAACATACAGAAACAAAGATGCAATCAAGTATTGAAAAGAAGGCGAAGTATGTTGGTCATCGGAGTGTCAGTTGTAGGAGGCCTCTTTATCTTCTTAAATCCCCCATTTCATTTTTACCTCAGAATCAACTTCCAACTAACGAGTTAATTCTAAGGCATTATCAATATCTAATTAGCAGTAGATTAAAAACGATTCAAAAGTATTTATGATAATTTTTGTTGTTCTATGCGGTCAGATTTTAACATGAAATGCAAAGGAAAAACAATTTGCTATCAGGAAAATGGAGAATTGTGTCTTCTTAGAAAAATTGTGAATATCTGGGAGTCCTGTGGTTTTAAAAACTATATTATTAGAGAAGATCAAATAATATCAAAATTTGTAAAAATTCACAAAAAATGGATAACAATGACCAAGGGAAAGTCGCTAGTTTGGAAGAAAGACACCAAAGAAAAAATAGTTAAAGAATTTCAATCAATCATGGAGACTCTTTTTTACTTTGGAAAACCCAACATTAAAGAGCTTATCCAACTCAGTCAAGATATGCCAAGAAACAAAGAGAGCAAAGAAGAAGATTTAGCATTTTTGGATGATCAAAAAATTTCTAGAAAACAGTTCATAAGTGGGCATATAGATAAAGAACTTGAGGCAAGGATTTAACGTAGACAAGAAAAATACCATAGGTATACCGATTATAAAAAAAAATGTCAATAGAGGCCAATGGAGATGTCCAATATGATAATGATGAGTGCTATGATTACTTGGATTTAGAAGATTTAGAACCTCAATTAAAAGCGCTGATGAAAATGATTCAAATGAGATACAATTGAGATCTGAATCAAGTAATTTTTATCATGAAAAAACTAATGTATATTGTTAAATGCGTGTTGTATAACCTTTATAAAATAACCCGTGAATATACCTTTTCATTTTTATTTTTTGTTAAAACCATTATAAGTCTTTCAAATCTGGCATTGATGGTAGGTAACACAAGTTATAATTCTGATGATGATGAATATCAACAAGAAACACCAAACAACGCTAAAAAAAAGAAAAAACTTTTTTTCAATCCTTGTCAATAAAGAAATTACTCGAGATGGCTTAATTGCATCTACAACTCCTCTCAGTGTAAGAATCGGTTTAAGCTACGAGATCAAACAATGTTTATAGCCAGTATCATAAACTACCTAGGAGTAGATATAAATAAAATGAAGATAAACAGAGAAACCGTCAGATTGAAGCGTTATGAGGTTGTTCATAATCACGGAAATGAAATTAGAAAGAATTATATCGAGGAAATAAGAGGAAAAAATAATGTCCTTCACTTTAATGGGAAGCTAGTTAAACATTTGCATAAGGAAATCCAACAAACCGTTACAAGAGATAGAATTGCCGTGTCTTTTACTAGTTCTTAATTTCAACACAGGATGATCTTTTCTTAGGAATTGTTCCAAGTGACACAGGTGAAGCACCTGATCAGGCTTTAGTAATTCAAAATTTATTAGAATATTTTGAAGTTTCAGACCGAGTATTTGCTGTGTGTGTTGATACTTCTGCAACTAACACTGGTAGTAAAGAGGGTGCAATTATAATATTGACAAGAGTATTTAAGAAACCTTTATTCTGGTTATTATGTCAACACCACATACATGAAATACATATTAAACATATTTACAAAGCAATATCTGGAGATAACACCAAGGGTCCACGAAAGGCCCTTTACTCAAACTTTAAAAAACAATGGGAAAATTTTCTCCCGTTTTTATCTACTTGTGGTGCCTCTTCTAGTTTTAAAAAGTTTGACGAGAATACTCTCATAATTGGTTCAGATGTACTTGGAGGCGAAGACCTATATCAAATTTGTTCTTGAAACTGAGATTTTCCCCCGAGAAGATAACAGGCATCTTGTGGAATACTTAGCTTTCTATCTTAATATTCAGTCTGAAAAGCTAAAAAACTTTAGGATTCATCAACCAGGTGCGTGTCATGAAGCTAGATTCATGGCAGATGCTTTGTATCACATGGTTTTGGAATTTACATTTTCCGTTATAAACTACTTAAATCAAGACCAGCAGATTCTAGTCTCTAGAGTTTGTTTAATAGTTGTTATAATTTATGCTCCAGGATTTTTAAAATCCAGTTTTGCTGAACATTCAGTATTAAATGACTTTAATTCATTCAAAATAGCAAAAATAAAAAAAAGAGGAATTTGATATTGATTTTGGAACTTTACTTTTAAACAGTTTAAAATCTCACTCCTGGTATCTTTCACCTAAAGCAGTAGTCATGGCTCTTGCTGATTCTGACCTTGAAATTCAGACAAATTCAGACATTTTGAAGGCCTTGTTGGAACACGAGGTTCCTAACATTAATGAAATTAATAAAGAGAAACCGCTTCCTGTTTTAGTTGATGAAAATACCAAACTTTTTAAACTTGTTCACCATGAAAGCTTTCTTTTCTTTCTTTCATGAAAGCTTTCTTTTTGTCGTTTTAGACTTAGTAAACGAAACAAAGACTTGGTTGGAAGCATGCCAGAATAAAGTGGGTTTAGACTCGATACCCTCTTACAAGAAATTTAAGCTTTTTATTAAACACCTCAGTGTCACAAATGATTGTGCTGAAAGAAACATTGGCTTCATACAGAAGTTTGTGAACTCTTCACACTCTAAGGATTAGAGACAAAATGTTTTGCTGGTTGTTCAAGAAAACCAAAAAAAGATTTCAAAGAATGTTTATCGGAAAGATCTTGTTAATTTGTAATAAATATTGCTGTTTAAAATGCAAACATGCATCATTTGCTAAACCTTTTTGTTAATTATCTCAGATAGAAGTTAATAATACTAATATAATAAAACAGTAGTTATGCAAACTAATATATGCATCTTTATATACATTTGTTAGCATATATTAGCAAAACATGATGATTATTTAAATTATTGAAAAAATACTTCTACCTGATCCAATGATCCTAGTAAGCTAAAATTTTAAATATAAGCAGCTAGTATATAGGTGTAGAACAGGTATTTACACAGGGTATTTGCGTTTTTTGAAAAAAGGTAAAAAAGTGCAAAAAAATTGTCACTCTAATATATATATATATATATATATATATATATATATATATATATATATATATATATATATATATATATATATATATATATATATATATATATATATATATATATATATATATATATATATATACCCACAGATAAAAATGAGCTCTTTCAAGAACTCTTATTTTGTTTTCCCACCATTTTGTTTCAGGCTCATATTTATCCTTAATATATATATATATATACTATATATATATATATATATATATATATATAATATATATATATATATATATATATATATATATATATATATATATTTATATATATATATTTATATATATATAAATGGTCCACAACAACCTGAACATGTTGGCTCTATTATAACATTAAAATAATTTGGATTATGCAAATAAATTCGTGTTTAAAAAAACATTTTACAATGATACTTTTTTTATAAAAATATATATATATATATATATATATATATATATATATATATATATATATATATATATATATATATATATATATATATATAGTACATATATATATATATATATATATATATATATATATATATATATATATATATAAAATGTATAGCTTAAATTAGGTTTGTATAAATTATTAC